TCCAAATCGCACGCCGATGAGAAATCCCGAATTATCCTTACCGACTCGCCGGCTGAAATCCGCCAGAAAGTCAAGGTAGCCCTGACCGACTCGGAAGCAAGCATTACCTACGACCCGACGCGTCGGCCTGGGGTGTCTAATCTCATTGAGATCCTCAGCCACCTGGAAGGTGTATCGTGTGAGGAGATTGCGACTGACTTCCACAGCGCTAGTCTCCGATCGCTCAAGGAACATGTTGCAGAACGGATCGCGTATCATTTGCAAGAAATCCGAGATCGGTATATTACGATCATGGAGGATCAGACTGGTTACCTGGAGTCAGTGGCTGAGGAGGGGGCCGAAGCAGCGCGGGCCAACAGTCGGGTGACCATGCAGCAAATCCGGGACGCGATGGGTCTGTAAGTGGCCAGTGTCTTATCGAGTGATTATAGTAAGAAAATGTACAATAGGATATATACATATGCTACGGAGTACATGTGTAGTTACTATGTATACTCCGCGTAAGAGTCCGATGGATGGAAAGTGGAGTCAACCGCGTCATCGCCTCCACTACGTATGTCGCGTACGTATACTATATGTATACAGGGTATACCTAAGGACATGAGGATGATAATTAGATTTTTATTTTATTTTCGATGAATAATGTAAATTCTTATTAACTACCTAGGTATATATACTAGGTATATACCTATATATATAGATATAAAAAACTAAATTATATGGTGACGACAGCACTTGGGAGACTTCCGCGTTACCCGTTCAGGCAACCGTATATATATAATACACTATATAATACACTATATATATATATATATACTCCGTACTAATAGTATTATGGTAACTAGTAACATATGGTCCACACGTATAATCCGGTTGGAGCCGAGTAACTTGGCCATCTCTTTTTCTTGCCTCTTTTTTGCTTTTCCTTTCTTCAATTCCTTCAATTCTTTCCCTTTCTTCACCTTTCTCACACTTCTTCCTTTCCTCTTGTTATTCCCCAATCCTCATCCAACTCCACTTATATCGTCTCTTAAACCGTTCGAAAAAAAAAAAAAAAAACACACAGCTGATCTCTCACTTTCGGGCCGAATTCGGGGAGAACGATCGGCACTATGAAAAATAGTTGGATCCTATTGGTCACTGGCCTGGTGATGCCAGTCTGGGGTATAACTCTCCATCGACGAGATAATCCCGCGGTAGTACAAATGGATATTCAACGAAACGATATCTCCAACCCCGTCGCTAGAGATCAAGCACGGAGGAAACGGTCGACAGTCAGTCAGGCATTGGACAATCAGGTACACATATCATATCTATATTTAGATATATATACATATATATAATCTTACGGAAGATACTAATGTCTCGACCTAGGAAACTTTATACTTCTGTAATGTCACTCTAGGTACCCCCAAGCAGACCGTACGTCTGGTCCTCGACACTGGAAGTAGTGATTTGTGGACCAATACACCGAATTCTACTCTCTGTGCATCCACCAAGAACGTTTGCGCGGAATCCGGTACTTACGACTCGACCTCTTCCTCTTCATATTCCTTTGTGAATTCGGACTTCAATATCAGCTATGCTGATGGTTCCGGTGCCGCCGGAGACTATGTGACCGACACTCTTACCATCGGAGGAACAACTATTAAAGACTTCCAATTTGGCCTTGGGTTTTCATCTGGCTCCGCAGGTGAGTGATTTTGTGACAGATATATCATCCCTGCAGAGCTGACATGCGAGGTTGATCTACAGAGGGTGTGCTGGGTATAGGATACACCGTGAATGAAGTTCAGGTTGGCAGAAATGGAGACTCAGCCTATGCCAACCTGCCCAAGGCGATGGTCAACAAAGGAATAATCCAATCAAATGCCTACAGTCTCTGGCTGAACGACCTGGATGCGAACACCGGGTCGATTTTGTTTGGTGGAGTCAACACTAAAAAATATCACGGCACCCTACAAACAGTCCCCGTCCAGAAGGTCCGCGGACTATATTCGGAGTTCATCATCGCGCTCACTAAAGTGTCCCTCACCAATTCTTCCGGTGAAAATACCTATTCGTCCAGCTCCATTCCGGCGGGTGTATTACTGGACTCGGGAAGCTCCCTTACGTACCTTCCAGACGCCCTTGTCCAGGATATCTACGATGATCTCGGGGTCTCGTACGAGTCGGAGAGTGGCATTGGCTACGTTGAATGCAGCATGGCAAATGACAACATCACCCTCAGTTACACGTTCTCATCCCCGACGATTAACGTGGGCATCGATGAGATGGTCATCGATGTTGGCGATCTTTACTTCCGAAACGGCAAGCGGGCCTGCGTTTTCGGTATTGTTCCCGCAGGAAGCAGCACGGCAGTCCTGGGAGATACGTTCCTGCGCAGTGCGTATGTGGTATACGATCTCGCCAACAATGAGATCTCCCTCGCCAACACCAACTTCAACGCCACCGAGAATGATATCTTGGAGATCGGGACTGGCACCGATTCCGTCCCCGGTGCCACTGCAGTCTCGAACCCAGTGACTACTGCACCAGTTGGTGGCACCGCTGCTCGCATTGGGGGTATTGGGGGAGGATCCAGCATCTTTGGCACGGCCTCTGCCACTGGAAATATGGCCATCCCCAAGGCAACCGCTATGCCGAAACACCTGGCTGTCGGTCTCGCCGGTATGGGAGCTCTTTTGGCTCTTTAGGGCCTTGGATTCAAATCTTTTCTTCTTCTTCTTCTTCTTCTTCTTCTTCTTCTTCTTCTTCTTCTTCTTCTTCTGTATATGTCTTGCATACTGGCGTATTTGGAGTCTGGGCAGGCTATACCTAGAATTCTTTTCCGTCATATTCTCAATTATCTAGGTTTTATGTGTTATGAAATGGACATTCAGTGATTTAATAACTACATGTGGAGTACTAATATTGGGTTTTCCTATTAGTGTTCGCTCCTTTCATACCTTTTATTAAAGTGTTTTTGATTTCTATAAGATCGAAAAGGGGAAAAGGGACGGGAAAATATATCAAGGACTATTGTCGATAATTACATATGTTATACTATAACTATTATATATATATGATTAATCTTGGCATCAACGGAATCTCTTGGCACCAACGTTCCTTGACTGACCACTGATATTTCCACAATGCCCCGAATCCCCTTTTCTGTCATCAGAAAAGCACAACGGGAAAATTATCTTCTGCCTGTACTCCTCAAAGAATGCCGCACAATCGATTCTGCTCGCAATGAACTTCGTTGGCTGCGTGAGCGGGCAGTTCGTGATAGCCAGTCTCTTCCAGGAAAGGGATGGAGAGGCCGCTTGCGCTCTATGTGTCAGATGCGATCTAGAGGATATCCCCTCCAATATATCCTTGGAGATCAACCATTCGGTGACTTGGAAATTCTTTGCCGAAGAGGCGTTCTGATCCCAAGGTCTGCCTACCGGATTTTTTTTTTTTGATTTAAAAAAGCCATATCTCTTGCTGACAACGTTTTGTAGACCAGAGACCGAATCATATACATACCAAGCGGCCAAATTAGTCCGTCAAATGGCCCTGGGCCGTAATGAGAAGCCCAAGTCTCCCAATCAGCCGAGACCCTTGCGTGTCATCGACCTTTGCACTGGCACAGGCTGTATACCACTTCTTCTGCACGCATTACTTGCCCCTCATTTCCAGCTGGAGATAATGGGGGTGGACATCAGTCCTACAGCCTTAGTACTAGCCCAGAAGAACCTCGAGCATAACTTGCAATTGGGCCAATTGGCATCCACCGCAGACACAGACATCCACTTCTATCGCGCCGATGTCCTCGGAGATGGCAGTGACAATTCAGTACCGTCCATTGAGTCAATACTCCAAATCCAACCCCCCAATTTTGGAGGATTGGACATCTCATCACCCCACCAAAAAAGTGAGTGTGATCTGTTAATTTCCAACCCGCCCTACATATCCCAAACAGAGTTCCGCAACGGCACCACTGCGCGCAGTGTACGTCGCTTCGAGCCAAAGCTGGCACTTGTGCCTCCGCACTCGGGCCCCGGGATGGAAGACTGCATGCCTGAGGATATCTTCTACCTCCGCATTCTCACTCTGGCATTCAAGTTGAAGGCCAAGCTCACGGTGCTGGAGTGTGGCGATTCTCACCAGGCCAATCGAGTGGTTGCCCTTCACAAGCGACTTGCTTCTGCTGAAACCGGACGGTTTAGTGCGGAGGTATGGCCGAGTCGAGAGCAAGATTTGGCTGAGAATGGGTTTCATGCGACTGACGGATCGCGAGGTGTTATCATACAGGCTCTCCGGTAGCGAGCACAAGATGTCCATCATTCTCGTTCCATCAGAGGAGCTTTTCCTCCTGTGTCGGATCATCATCAAAAGGCCTGTTTCCATAGGTGGCAGTGATTGCAGCCTTTGCCGCGCGAAAAACCAGGTGGTCTGGTCTGGTAGATTTCAGCCGGCCATTCTTCCAAGGAGTACCTCAATGTTTGGGGCTAGAGTACTTGATGGAAACAAAAATGGATATGGATTATGAGTTTCGATATTAATTTTAATCTTATGAATAAATTTGAACTAGTTTGGTAATTCTTGTTTTATCGATTTGAAAATATCATACATCTGCATCAATTTTCGACTTTAAGATGACCCCATAAACTTGCAATATATAGAAGAGAAATGTACAGAAAAGACCCAACCAAGTGCATTTCGACTGCCCACGAAAAAAAAGAAGAAGAAGAAGAAGAAGAAAAAAAAAAAAAAAGAACATTATGTACAGAAGGGGTAGATCATCAGTAGGTCAGAGTGCTGCCGGTCAGTTTTGGGTGTATTAAAACAGGTAAGAGATGCGCAAGGCGAATTAATGTACTTGAGTTAGCGTGAAAAAAAAGGCACGGGAAACGATAGGGAGATGCAACAGTCCAAATCCAAAACCCAGGCCAAGAAAGCCAAGACATACAGCCCCGTCTATCGGGGAGTTTGCGATAAAGTTCAAATGGTTCCTGTAGTCTAGAACCAATCATTGTGAAGTCATGAAGAATGCGATGCCGTCGTTTCAAAGATTCTTCTTTTTGTCGGCGGAGTAGCTGCGATCGTCTTCGCCCTCGACATCCTTGAGAATTGACTCCATCTCCTTGGCCTGGCGCTTCCACTCCTTGTCGCCCATCTTCGTTTCTCTGCGGAAAAGCTCCTCGTTGGGCTTGCGGTAGCTGCCACCCAGACGGTCCCAGAGAGTGGTAAACTGTCCGTAGTTGTAGTTGAAGTACAGGTGGTGCATGGTGTGGCAGGCCGCACCGTTCACGATGGGGCTGTTGGCGACGTACTCGCCATCATGAATGAAGACGGTCCACAGGTTGATAAATCCGAACAGGAAGACGTAGGCAAACTTCTGCAGGGGGAAGATGAAGGGGAAGACGTGGTACGGGACACTCTGGGACCAGCCATCGAGCGGGTGGAAGGCGTGCGAGGCATAAGGGCTCGGCATGATCCATTTGTGGTGAGGCTTGTGCAGGGTCTTGTAGACGCGGGGGTGGTGCAGGCCACGGTGGATCCAGTAGATGAAGAAATCGGTAAAGCAGATGAAGAAGGGGATTTGGAGGAGGCTGTAGTACGGGAAGGGCTCTTCGGCGGTGGTGTCGTAAAGTTTGGCGTATCCGCGAACCTCCAGAACGAAGAAAGGAGCTGTCAACAGTGACATTGGGGGCATTGCAGCCATGGCCTGTCTGATCTCCAGACCAATCTGGTTCTTGAGGAATTTGGGGTGATTGTAGGTTGTCTTGTCCCAGATAAAGATGTAAGAAAGCGAGGCGACCAAGAAGTAGACGAGCAGACCAAACAGCCTAATTTGAGCGTTAGTTTCTTATGTTGACGCGGTAAAAAAGAAAAGTGGCGGGATTGGCGCATTACCAAGTAATCAAGAAAAAGCTCGTGAATTGACGGTAGACATTGTTCCTAGGCCAAGCACTCAGGTACGCGTATTTCGAAGGTTCCAGGTAGATCATCTGTGTAGCCTGTTCATAGACATAAGGTTCCGGACCAAAAAGGGCCATTGAAGTGTTGGCGGCCGCATTGACGAAGGCCGGCAGCGAGACGGACGAGGAGAGCGAGGCGGGAAGGAGTGTCGAATAAAGGCGATCACCAATGAAGGTGTCCCATAATTCCAGAATGATATCCATGATTGAGGGCACAGATAGGGTGGGGAAGGAGAGAGGGAGGAGTTGAAGAGGTACTTGAGGGAACAAAAAAGGAGATTCGCGGCGAATAACAAAGTAGTCACACCAGCGCGGAACCGCCACAGCCGTTGCGATGCCACCTTTTCTTATTAAGCCAATTGATCCAGGGGGAATGGTCTGATGCGGGATATATAATATATATTTATCTTATGAGTGGACATTATAGTGTGTAAAAGTATATAATATATAATATAATATTATTTTTGGTATATCTTCATTTTTCTATCACTTCGTATACATACCTACCCTCCAAGGTTGCTCTACCAAGTCACTATGGAGTAAAAAAAAAGAGAAAAACTTAAAAGAACCCCTGGTTTGCCACAGTTTATGCCTTGATGCCTGGGGGCCATACTGTGGCTATGTATATGTGGCTAGTTATGGCTATTTATTGCCTGATAGATCAGGCAATAATGACCAAAGTACTCCGTACTCCGTACTGAGGTCCATTAATTACATTGTATAGGTAATGGCAATACTAAATTGATACCGCACGGGCCAGTTCCACTTCTGCTTCCCGTACTCAGAGGTACCTCCACTGCCCACACTTGCCAGTGTAGATCCAAGTATTCCCTGGTATTCCCGGGTATCTTCAGCCATTGGAACAATACCGGTTTTATGCGAACCTCACGATCTGGACCCATCCATGGATGTACAGTGTTGCAATGTGCAATGTACCTAACTATATATGTAGTTACATATGTAGGTAGTTAACTATTTGAACAAAGTACTTGGAACATGGTGATTTTTCTTTTTAATCATATAGCGTGAAATGTTCTTCATTTACAGATGTAATTATCGACTTGAACACTTTATCATTGTATCAAACATAAAGATACAAATTGATTATGTACAACCTTAGTCTACTCCGTACGGTCAGACCCGCTGCGCTTCTCGCCTATCACCTCGCTTCTCGCGTTAACCACTGCCGCCTTCCCCCAAACTCAAACCTTCCCGCTTTAAAGTGTCATCTGCCAGCCTCTTCCACCCCTCTTACCACTACACCCCCCCATTCTCATCTCCCAGTTTATATTGTATCGCCCACTATCGCTGTGGCTAGCTGCGTGGTGCTATCCACCAAGCATTGAAGCCTCAGTGATCAAGATCATTGAGTCCAGGTCAAAACCTTGGTTGCGATCTCATTTGCTGACCCAGAGCTGCTATCCGAGCATCGCTTTTGTCCCCTTCTGTGACTTCAAAAAATCAAGAAGGAAAAAAATATATCCTACCATGTACAACGCTCATCGCGGGATGGTGCCCGCTCCCAACTCCCGTCTGACGGAGTTGCTGGATCAACTGCGCCAGGAGTTTGAGAGCCAGTCGCGAAACACCGGTGAATTTGAGCATCAGTGTATGTTATCTATGCCCTCTGACACATTGTTACCCCTTTCTCTATGCTCAGGCCATTTGCGCCTTGAGCCCCCCTGTCCAATCCTCGTATACATTTATACAAGCAGCTGCCACCTCATTCCCCCTCCCCCCAATGACTGCAGCTCCATGAGTCCCGACATTCGCTGAAATGTTATCTAACTGACAGATCATGCAGTGACTGGTCAACTCCAAGAGATGGAGATGATCCGTCAAAAGGTCTATCAACTGGAACAGGCGCAGATCAAGATCAAGCAAGAGTGCGTTCCCTTTACCTTCGTTGAAAGCTCCAATAATCCTCTCTGACATGACATCTTTCTTTTTCTTCTTCTAGCTACGAATCCGAGATTCGAATGCTGCGACATGAACTTGAGGCGCGTGGCGTGCAAACCATCCCTTCCCACATCGGCGGACCCGCTGCGGCTCATACAGCTCCTTCCCAGGCTCCCCCACCTGCCTTGGGCCACGGCCCCAGCAATCTGTTTGGTGGTATCATGACCAACCCATCAGGTAGTGGCCCCGGTCTTGCACCTTCCCTTCCCCAGGATCAGCAGCCTCCCCAGCATCCCCTTCAACCGCCTGCTTCGGTCGCTCAGCCTGGCGCACCGCAACCCCAGCAGAGCTCCTTTGGAGGATATCCGGCTGGCGCTGCTGTGAACGGTATGTCGCTGTGTTTATGAAACTCGTCGCTCAGTCCACTGACCCGTTGGATCGTTGAAATCTCCCAGGCTATGGACCGCCTCCACCTCCCACTGCATCCCCAGGCCCCGGTAAAAGCCAGGGCCGTGGCCGTGTTCCCCCAGGCCCCGGTACCCCCCAGCAAACCCATATCGCCTACCCGGATCCCCGCGCATCCCCCCAGATCCCTCGCCCGACTCCTCCGAACCCCCCTCTCGGCCGCACAGCCGAACGTCCGGGAAACATGTTGGCAAACTGGAATCCCGATGATTTGCCTCCGTCGCAGAAGCGTGAGGGTTCCGATTGGTACGCCGTGTTCAACCCCGAGGTCCAGCGTGTTCTCGATGTGGAGCTGGTGCACCATTTGAATCACGATAGCGTCGTTTGTTGTGTGCGCTTCAGTCGGGATGGCAAGTACTTGGCGACGGGCTGCAACCGCTCGGCTCAAATCTTCGACGTGACCACCGGTCAGAATGTGGCCACCCTTCAGGATGAGAATGTCGACAAGGATGGCGACCTGTACATTCGCAGCGTGTGCTTCAGTCCGGATGGCAAATATCTTGCGACTGGTGCCGAGGATAAGCAGATTCGCGTAAGTTTTCGGTTTATTATGGAACCCGCAGCATGTGGGAAGATCGCTGACTGACTGTGATTGGCTTTAGGTTTGGGATATCAACCAGCGCACCATCAAGCATATCTTCAGTGGCCACGAGCAGGACATCTACTCTTTGGACTTTGCTGGCAACGGTCGATTCATCGCCTCTGGCAGTGGAGACAAGACCGTGCGCCTTTGGGATATTCTCGATGGCAAGCTTGTCTACACCCTTAGCATTGAGGATGGTGTCACTACTGTGGCCATGTCTCCGGATGGCCGTTACGTGGCTGCCGGTTCGTTGGACAAGAGCGTGCGCGTCTGGGATACTACCACCGGATACCTGGTGGAGCGCCTGGAGAACCCCGATGGCCACAAGGACAGTGTTTACTCGGTCGCATTCGCACCCAATGGCCGTGACCTTGTCAGTGGCAGTCTGGACAAGACTATCAAGCTCTGGGAGCTTACCGTTCCTCGGGGCATGCACCCCCACAGTGCCATCAAGGGTGGCAAGTGTATCCGTACATTTGAGGGCCACAAGGTTAGATCTGAGATTACTTGGGAGAGAGACCGGCAGAAGCTAACTTTTTTCTTTTTTACTATCATCTAGGACTTTGTTCTCAGTGTGTGCCTGACTCCCGACGGTGCTTGGGTGATGAGTGGTTCCAAGGACCGTGGTGTTCAATTCTGGGATCCGGTGACTGGAAATGCCCAGATGATGCTTCAAGGCCACAAGAACTCCGGTGAGTTTGATTCAATCGTCGGATGTGGTGGTCCTCTCTCTAATTCTTAACTCCGAATAGTCATCTCGGTTGCACCCAGTCCTACTGGCAACCTGTTCGCGACCGGCAGTGGAGACATGCGTGCACGAATCTGGAGGTGAGTGTTTTCGTATTCCCCCTGTGTTTCAGATTATAAGCTGACTTTTGACTTTTTCTAGATACTCGGCGTACACTGGACGATGAAAGGGTTGATCCTTTGGGCGCATTATGATGTTTTTTTTTGCTTTGCTTTGGTTATGGGCTGTTGAATTTGTCTATTTATTTTCCCCCTCTTATATACACTTTAGTGTATACGTGAATTCCTCTTCAATTCCAAAATTGCCATTCTTTACTATACGAAGTATATGGAGTATATTGTTATAAGCCGTGTTAATGGATGTAGACGTAGAAAAGGGGTCACACGGACATTCTGGAACGAGCTGAACTTCCCAACAACACCATCCCTGCCCGTCTGAATCACCACAGAGCCTCCGAAATACCAAGAGACTGAGAGATTGGAAATATTCTGAAATAATCAGATTATTCAGGGTGGGTACGAAGAGTACGGAGAGGACGGAGTAGGTAATATACACATCAACTCTCCTGATCCAAAATCTCACCGAACTAGGCTTAACGCATATGCACTGGCTAGGTACCTTCGCCCATTCAGGAAGTAGTTCGTGAAGACTAGTCGCATCCCTGCAGGAACCATTACAAGTCCCGACACCTCATCTCGACGCAGGACGTGCAGGGTTGCCACTCGTGTCAGATGGGACATGGCTGTCACTTCTCGGATCATCAATATGGAGCCAACTAAGCCCACGAGTGGCCATGATCGACATGGCCCATGAGCCAAGCCATTTGTCTGATTAAGGGGAAAATCCAAAGTACCAAGTATGGAGTACATCGAGATCAGACCAAAGCCCGCGTGTTAACTCCTCCGATGGGCCAGAATCAATTATCTTTCCCGCCCCCGCAAAGAAAAAAAAAAGAGAGAGAGAGAGAGAGAGAGAGAGAGAAAGAAAGAAACAGATCGCACTAGATGGAAAAGGCACAACTTGATTGGCTTTTCCCAAGAGAATCAGATCACCCGACTGAATTTTCCAGGGCCTTAGGCGGCTAGCTGGGATATTCGATGGGCTGAGATCGGACACTATTGGCGACTATCGGGATGGCGCATCCTGGTACTCGTAATTACGGCCCAGCTGGCCATTGAGCGATTGCTGACTCCGAGATCGACTGAATAATCTACATGTCGACTGCAGGTCGATCACGGCCCACTTGGGAATTCGATTTGAAGGCCCGGCCCGTCTCTCCTCGAGGGGAGAGATGCACAGCACGATGAGTTTGCGTGTTTTTCTTTTCTTTTTTTTATGAGATTTCGAGTCTGACAGATGTCAGTCTCTTCACCAATATCAATTATAGAAGTGTACAGAGTACGGGGAAACCAAAGGACAGGGAAAGAAAAAAAAAAAGAGAGAGATCAAGGCTTTCGTCGCCAGTCGCGGCTGTGAGTATATAATTTTTTTTTTTCATTCCCTGTGTGACTGACACACATTTCACACCGAAGTTGAAATACATTACCAC